ACATTGCTTTACAAATTTTAAGACTTAATAAAAAAAATTGATATTCTGCATATGAAAGCATTGTAATGTTTACTGATAATCTGCCAAATTTTTTTAACCAATCGCTTACTAATTTAAAAGTTATAGCATGAAAACGATAACAAGCACAAAATGGTTATGAGGTCGGTCCCAGGGACTGAGCTCGTGCTGAAAGAGTAAATGCATCAAACTGGAGAGAGAAGTGGAGGTCTGACCCAAGTTATTCAATGTATAAAATTAAAGTTATACAAATAATGAAGCTCTGTTTTCTTGATTATGAGCTTATCATCCATATGTAGAATTTAATAATACTAAACATTGATGATACACATACTGCAATCTTCAATTTTTTTTTACATTACAAGGTACCCTATGTTCGGTAATAGAAGTACTCTTTTTTTTTTTTTTTTTAGTAATAAACACTATTTATTATATGTGGGAGATGTTGAATCAGTATTGAATAAAAAATGTATTATTTGTTGGATCTCACTCGTGGCATATGTATGTGTATGATTTGGATCACATACACTATCAGTTTTCTAACAAGTCTGGAAAATTCTCTTTAAATTATTGTTAACATAAATTAATTTCACTGTGTTTGTTAGTCTACAATCAGTCATTCCACACAGAAGATTGTTTTTTTTTATTCTCTTTACAGTAGATACAAAGAACAGCTACATAAATCATGTGACACCAGTGCTCTCTCTCTCAATATTGGTCATTTTAACATCAATGAATCTTTCATTAGTTTTCACTGATTATAAATAAAAGAAGAGAGAAAGAGAGAGTCTGCTTTTGATTTTTGTTAATGCCAACAAAGAGCACCTAAGTAAGGAAAAGTCCCACTTTTAGTACTGTAAATCTTTTTTTAATTCTTTTTATTCTTATTTTGAATTAATTTGTTAATTCAAGTATTGGAGCAAAGAAATTGTTACAATTTTTATCAATTTGAGAGTGATTGTACAGTTTATTATAAGACAGTCTGATTTCTTGGGAAACACATTAAAAGTATTATTCCTTAATTTAACTTAGGGGCACCACAATTACTAGGATAACCAGTTATGGTTCAGTTCAAAGCCATGTCTACTTCAAAATATTCCTAACCCCTACTTGAAACCATAGTTTCTTGTTTTATTTTATACCTAGTTTTATAGTGGGGTTGAGTGCATTATGTTAAAACAAGTCTGAATATGCCAATTAACAAGTTGCATGACAGCCACAGCTGCTACAAAGTTGACATTTTGACATTGTTTGATGTTTTGTATTTAGTGTGATCTATCAAAAATTCTTTTTGTGAAAGATATGCAACAGCCCTTTCCAATGCAAAATATTTATACACTCTGGTCATAAAGATGTGTTCAGATTGAAGATTTAGAATTTACAATATAGAGATATCAATTGTACTTAATGGTGGTAGTGCAGCTATGACCCATTTTACATGTTACACTGAGACACCTATTTTGAGCATTCTGTCAGCAAGAATAGGCAGTTGGACTCAGTTATAGGCATATTCCAGATATAAAGCTTCTGCCAATATGTTCTGATAGGTTTCACAGCCTTCCTGCATAACATTATGCAGCTGTGTTGATATTCTGATGCTAACTTCAACAGATTAGTTTCTTCAAGCTTTTTAAAGGTGGAGAATCTTACACCATTAAGACCTAGAACTTCATCTTTATATGTATTCATGGCTCTGTATATCTTGTCCAAGTTAAAAATGGCTTCCACGTCTGTATGTAATTGTAGCTTGGTTGGGGACTGCTAATAGCTTAAGCCTCTTTGGTATATGTGTGTGTCCACCGAGGGGAATTGAACCCCTAATTCTAGCATTGGAAATCCGAAGACTTACCGCTGTCCCACTGGAGGGACTCTTTGGTCATGTTCATTAATGTATCAACCCATGAAGACCTTGCTATGGCCTTCATCTGTACAGAATGGTGTACTGTGATCATTGTAAGTTACTGTTTTTGGTTCCTGAGTCATAAACTTGTAGAAGCACCAGAATAAAGTGCCTATGAGATTGGCCTTGCTGCAAAGTTCATTTCTTTTCATGTCTTATGGTTTTGAAGTTGATCTCTTGTACAGAGCACAGGCTCTATTATGAACAGTTCTTGCCTCCTCTGCACGAGGGTCATACCTTGTTTGCATAAACTCAGCCTGGGCTTGACTGTGTGCTTCCCAATCTTTATCAGTATCACTATTTAACCAATATGGATAAAAGTTGCCTTGGCTTAGCTTGAGGGATCAAGCATTGCCAGAAAGCTTATACTCCTCGTATGGGTTTCTTTTTATTTTATTTTATACCAAAGTGTCTTTCAGTCTTCACACACATATGCACCTCACACATGAGGTGATCACTACTGAAATTGTCTCCTGTGCCAGGTAAAGGTGACACTCAAGGTGGGGTAAGCAAAAGCAAGGTGTAAATAGGTGTTTCTGCCACCAAAAAATTAGTTCTTTTTTAAGTAATTAATTCATCTCCTTGCATTTTTATAGGCAAATATTACAAGAAATAATTGTTAAATCTTGGATTTATTAATATTTACAGAAAATTGTTTGACATGTTGAATATCATATAAACTGTTTAAACAAAAACTAAATCTTTTAAGTTTAAATATGTGCTGAAAGTATTGTTGTTTAATATTTGAAGCAAAATAACACAAAGGTTCATGTAAATGAGTATACTGTCTATGACCAGTTTTAATCATGGTAATGTAGTATCTGACAATTTTTTGTCATAGTTTTTGTTTCAATCTAATAATGAAGTTGCTTGAGATGTGCTTAAATATTAACTTCTAATTAAATCAAGCTACCTACATTGATAAGAACTGAAAATGTATACATTGTAATAAGCATAGCTAATTAAATATAATGCTTAAAGTATTTTGTTTGTATCGATTACTTTTCATTAGAGGGCATTATTTCACCAGTGTTAACAGTATTTTTGTCCATAAACCCAATCATTTCTGATAAAGTTCAACTATCCAGGAGGCTTAGGTTAGTACTAAATCTGTAAACTAAACTAACAATACAAAATGAATAATCATTGTACTAAAATAATAAACATTAAATTAGAAAGAATACAAAATTTCTAACCAAGACTGTTTGTGACTAGAATGTGGTGAAAGTTTCACTTGTTTAGGCTGACATTAGGAAAACATTAGGCATGGCTTGGCCAGTTTAGTAGGTTTGGGTTAGGTCTAAATACATAATCTAAGGTGAAAGTGTGAAATGATCTTCATAATAATAACAAATAATAATAATTACAATTAGTTATAATAAATACAATAACCAATATTGTGAAGGAAGTAATCTTAAAGGAAGAATAGGGTATAACTAACTTAATATTTTTTGCTGGAAAATGGATGGTACTTACTACTCCTAAAATCTACTAAGACAGAGAGCTGTCCATTATCCTAACAGCATCTTCATTTCCAGAAGGAATATGTGCAAAACTTGTGTCACTGTTGGTCATACCATTTTGCTGCGTTTCTTTATTCACCATATTTTAATACAATGTTTATGCATATTTTTGGATTCTTAAATTTTTTGGAAGATAAAGTTATTGTTTCGGTATATTTTATTATAACTTACAAAAGATAGCTTAAGAATTATCCCTAGCATATAAATATTAACTTGACATTATTGATGACTTGTACTCTTTGATAAACTTGATGATGATGATGATAATAACTAATGTAGAAATATTTTGTCTCATTCTACAATCTAAATTATTCTATCTTTAGCTCTTGCAGAACTTAGGAAAAGCAGACAAGACCTCTGATGAACTTCTTGAAATATATATTCATAATTTCAAAAAACAACAAGTGAGTTAAATTGAATATCTGTAGTAAACAATATAATTTAGCTATGTTTAAATGAAATCTAAGTCAATTTGAATAATAAATTATTTCTGTTATTTCTTGAAATTAATAGTCTTTATTTGACAAAACTAAACAACAGATAATTAACATGTCTTGTGTTTAACAAAGCCAAGGTACAGCAGATAATTAACATGTAGTCTTGTTTAACAAAGCCAAGGTACAGCAGATAATTAACATGTAGTCTTGTATTTAACAAAGCCAAGATACAGCAGATAATTAACATGCAGTCTTATGTTTAACAAAGCCAACGTACAGCAGATAATCAACATGCAGTCTTGTATTTAACAAAGCCAAGGTACAGCAGATAATTAACATGTAGTCTTGTGTTTAACAAAGCTAAGGTACAGCAGATAATTAACATGTAGTCTTGTGTTTAATAAAGCCAAGGTACAGCAGATAATTAACATGTAGTCTTGTGTTTAACAAAGCCAAGGTACAGCAGATAATTAACATGTAGTCTTGTGTTTAAAAAGCCAAGATACAGCAGATAATTAACATGTAGTCTTGTGTTTAAAAAGCCAAGTACAGCAGATAATTAACATGTAGTCTTGTGTTTAACAAAGCCAATGTACAGCAGATAATTAACATGTAGTCTTGTGTTTAAAGAAGCCAAGATACAGCAGATAATTAACATGCAGTCTGATGTTTAACAAAACCAAGGTATAGCAGATAATTAACAGGTAGTGTGGTATTTAACAAAGCTAAGGTACAGCAGATAATTAACATGTAGTCTGATGTTTAACAAAACCAAGGTACAGCAGATAATTAACATGCAGTCTGGTGTTTAAAGAAGCCAAGATACAGCAGATAATTAACATGCAGTCTGGTGTTTAAAGAAGCCAAGATACAGCAGATAATTAATGTGTAGTCTGGTGTTTAAAAAGCCAAGATACAGCAGATAATTAACATGTAGTGTGGTATTTACCAAAGCTAAGGTACAGCAGATAATTAACATGTAGTCTGATGTTTAACAAAACCAAGGTACAGCAGATAATTAACAGGTACTGTGGTGATAAATAGAACCAAAATACAACAGACACATAACGTGTACTGTGGTGATAAATAAAACCAAGATATTAGATATTTTAGCGAACCTCTTTTGGTAACACAGTTATTATCATCAGGGCTGTGTTTGAAACTATAGGCTGAAATATCTAATAAAGATTTTATTTTTTTATTGTGCAAGAAACAGTTTTGTTTTTGACTCTCAATATAGTAGCACAATGTGCCCGTATAGAGATTATACAACAAACAAGTAACATGTAGTCTAATGTTTTACAAAACAAAAGCACAACAGAGAAATAAATTTTTTTTCTAACTAAAAATTAATTGTATGGTTAAATGGAAAGTACTGATCTATTTATTTTGTTTCTTTAGTTAAATGGTGATAAGAAATCTTAAATCTCTAAAGTTAGTATTAATTTTTTTTAACTTGTCCATTTTGTATAAAACTATTTAAATAGACTAACTTAAACATGGTCTTTGTAAATTTTAGAATGGAACACACAAACTTAACAAAGAACTCAAGAACTATCTCTCCTGTGTTCGAGGTAAGGCTCTTTTATCTTTTATTTATTCTGTATAGAATAATATATAAATGATTCATCAGGTGGAAAATTAAGTTTTATGATAGATATTAGAAACATGATAATACCAAAAAGTCATCTTTAGTTATGGATGTCTCAGAATTATTCAAAAAACCATTAGATGTTAAGTGAGAAGATTTTCATACAACCATACTTTTAGAAAGAACACAGATTCACATATTTGCACAAAGTTTTAAGGCCATTTTAACTCAAAACTTTTTCAGCATCAGTATTTTGACAATTATTTGGTGTAATTCATGAACATAAAAAAAGTTCTTTTTTTCTATTCCACACAGCTGTAAATGTTTTGCCTGTAAAAAAAACAACCTGTTTGCCAATTTTCTTTTTGTTTTAATTTTTCTGCCAATCCCAAAGAATGCCAATATTTGCTGAAATCCTATCACTCTTAGAGAATATATTATCCATTTCTTGATTTTTCAAGCATTTCCATTAGTTTTCGTATAGCCTTGATTGGAACCTTGTTATTGGGTCACATCAAGTGATTTGATCATTTACTAGTAAAACACAGTTATAAAGAATGTTTAAATATTGTTTGATAGAGAAATAATTAGACAATTCTGTAGTAGTAGAATAAATATATAGGTTTAAGAGTTTTTATAGTTTCTATAAATGTTCCTTTCATTATGAATGGTGAAAGTATTTCTGTTTTAAATCATGTGTTTGAAACCAACAAAAAATTTCTTCTAAGAGAAAACATCAGATAACTTGAGGAAAGTTAAGTTTATACAGTATAGAGATGGGTTGAATTGGTAACAAAGAAACTTTATTACGAGTCAAACACAGTAAGAAATGTACAATATTTGGAGAAGGTTTTTGTCTTGAAGTTTAAGTAGCTTATCTAGACAGTGAGTGTGTGTGTGTATATATATATTTACACATACACACACATTAGTGAATTACAGGTATACAGTAATTCTGTTTCACATAACATTCATTTAGTGTATGTATTCTCTAATTAACTTTAACTTCTTTAATGTTTACCAACCTCAACATTCTGTGTGTGTGTTAATAGTTGGTACTTTCCAAATTGAATATAGAATAAAATTTAAATTATTCTACACATAGTGCCTTTTCTGCAAATAAAAGTGTTCACATAATGTCTCAAGTATATCTGTTTCCACCTTTATAAATTGAAACTATATGTTTATGTGATGTGGTTAGTATGACCACTAGTGCTTGTGTAGAAAACAAAATAAACATGTAAGTACTTAAATAATAAGATTATGAAACTAGGTGTGACATTTCAGAAATAATTTTGTATCTAATTAGGGTAAGGAATTTAGCATTATTTTTCTACTTATGTCAGCCATGCAAGCAGCGAGCAAGAGCCTTCTGGATACTCTCAGTGAAATCTATGAACAAGAGTGGATAGGACATGACCAAATTGCTGTCAAAGCTCAGGTACTATTATTATGAAGGTTTTAGTTGTTAAAGTGTAAAGTTCATTCTCTCTCTGAGAAGATTGGTAACTCTGTAGTAATTGTGATACATTTCAAAAAACATTTTACTTCCTTACTTCGTATGAATAGATCAAAATTAGGTGAGATTACAATGAAGCTTATGGCTAGCCCTTCTTGTAGGTAGAAAAAATGAATTAAGAATCTGAGGTTATTTGTGCCTCTCCATGAACAACATAGAGTTAATTTTATTATGGAAATTAATGTAGAATTTCTTTTAAGTCTCAAAATGTATTCTCAGAGAAATTTGGTTTATATGAAATTATTTTATAATACTCATTGCAAGTTCAGTATCTTTTATGACCTTTTGTGTTTAAGGCTGAGGTTTTGGTTTGAACAGTGCTGTAAAGAAATGCATGTTGAAATTTTAATATAACAGCAAATGTACAA